TGACCTAAAAAACCAAAGAATTCCAATAATTTACTGATATATTCAGCTTTCTACAGTTAATACGTCTCTTGACTTTAAAATAAAGAGTAAAAACCGAAGTGGTTAACAAAGTAGTGAAACTCAAAAAAATAAGGTAGCATTATACTGTGGATAAAATGTCAATGCAATGTCTTTCCAATTATATTCTTTAACCATTTATTAAGAAATTATTTTTTCCCCAATATAGGCAATTTATTGTTTGCTTTTTGGGGCATTTTGTCTTTGTTTATAAGTCATTATTATAGATAATGTTTCTATTTTTTGGGGGATTTCAAAGCTGATTAGATATTTTTATTTGTGTGCCAAAGATCAATTAATAAAAATTTAGTTAGAGTTAGAGATGAAAATATTAAATACTGTATTGATATTTTAATGTATTAGGCCTCGATATTTTTAATCGTTGAATGAATGAGAACATGATTAACATGAAACTAGTTGGTCTGTGCAAATAACTTGTAATTTATATTGCTCAATGAACAGATGTCAAAATAATAAGGGAATAAAATGACGCAAGGTATAATAATAGGATGGAAGAATCAATTCTTGTTTTCTTGGTTATTATAATCAACCAAGAAAAATAAATTAATTTAAAAATTCATTCCTGTTTTAAACCAACATGTTAACAAATTAAAATAAGCTGTATCTTTACTAATAATGGTTTAATTTCAATGATTTTTTTTCTTTTCATTTTGTAGAAAATTTAGTAACCTTTCAAACAATTATGGGTGTAATCAACCATAACATGTATATTTTTTGAATTATTCACAAATAAGGAGAGTGTGAATCCCTAATCTCCTTAATAATTAAGGTTTTCAAAAATGAAGTATTGCGCAGAATATTCGGACCGAAGAAGGATAAATTAACTGGAGAGTTCAGACGGTTACACAACGCCAAATTGCGTGAACTGTATCCAGGTAATATTATTGAGGAGATTTCATCCCGGGGAATCAAATGGGCTTGTAAACTTGGGCTTAGTAACGACAGAATTCCTAAAAGGTTAATATTTTCTGTACCGAATAATTAACGTCCGAGTGGTGGAACGAAGCAAAGGTGGGAAGATTGCATTAAAGCCGATCTGAAGGGACTAGGTTTGAACAACGAATGGTGGAGGGAGGTGTGTAATAAGCGAATGGTGGTGTCAGCATCGAACCTTCGGGTTCGCTAAGCCTTTTATTATTATTATTTATTTACTGTTGAAAAAAAGAAAGAAAATAACTGCCTATATGAAATGGTGGTTAAGTGGTTGTTAAAGTCCTACTAAATGTAATACACGAACAATAATACTTTTAGAGATGAATTCTTAATATTTTTTTCAACAGACATGGTTATATTTTACCATTTTGGGGGGAGGGATTCAAACTAATAATGTAGTTCTAAAAAAACCAAAGATATAACAAATTTAAAGATATTTCGCAGATAGAGCCGAAGCGAAGATAGTTACGAAGATAGAGCCGAAGAATTCGCCAAAAACCTTTCCCTTACATTCACCTCTCATCCAGAATCCAATCCCACCCACACGTCAGCAGTAGAGGAATTCCTTAATTCACCCATCCCACTCTCCTTACCGCCTAAAGCAGTTAATCCTTCTGAGGTCAAATTCCTTTTACAAAAACTACCTACCTGTAAATCACCTGGATACGACCTGCTTACCTCTCAGATCCTTAGACAACTCCCTCCTAAAGCTGTCATATTCCTTACATACATATACAATAGCATCCTACGAACCACCCACTTTCCTCTTTTGTGGAAACATTCCACTATTATCCTGTTTCCGAAACCAGGCAAACCTCCCAACACCTCAACGTCCTACAGACCAATTAGCCTTCTTCCTATTCTCTCAAAAATCTTTGAAAAGATCCTCCTAAAACGCATCCTACTCTTTATAGAATCCCAAACTCTTCCTTCCCATCAGTTCGGATTTCGTTCACAACACTCTACAGTCCAACAAGGACTCCGAGTGGTTGATCATATTTCCGCAGCATTGGAAAGCAAGCAATATTGCTCGGGTGCATTTCTGGACATAGCTCAAGCTTTCGACCGGGTATGGCACGCCGGGCTTCTTTCCAAGCTGAAAAACTATCTTCCTCAGTCCTTGTACCTTGTTCTCCGTTCCTACCTCTCAGATCGTACCTTCCGAGTTCGTTGCGGTACTGAATTTTCGCATTGCTATCCAATTGAGGCAGGTGTTCCTCAAGGTAGCGTATTGGGTCCCGTCCTTTACATCCTCTTTACCGCCGATATCCCTGTCCATCCCGATACCTTCCTGGCAACTTTTGCTGATGACACCGCTATTCTATCATCCGACTCAGATCCCAACATAGCATCCTTAAATCTCCAAAACCACCTCACCTTGATTGAGCACTGGTGTAATAACTGGCGCATTAAAGTTAATGAATCTAAATGCCAACACATTACCTTTACACTCCGACGCAGTTCCTGTCCACCAGTACACTTTAATTCCATCCAGCTTCCTTACTCAGACACAGTCCGGTATCTTGGCTTTCATTTAGACCAAAGACTGACGTGGAACCCACATACTAGACTCAAAAGACAAGAACTCAACCGACGATACGGCCAGCTATACAGACTACTAAACAGAAAATCCAAACTTTCTATTGAAAACAAATTACTTATCTACAAGACAATACTGAAACCTATATGGACATACGGACTTGAACTGTGGGGTACAGCAAAAGCTTCTAACATCAAACGTATTCAATCCTTTCAATCTAAAGTCCTTCGAACAATAGTTGATGCTCCGTTCTATGTAAATAACAAAATCCTACACCATGACCTTAATATCCCATTTGTCCTAGACCTTATTCCAGAAAAATTCTCCAAATTTCACCAGAACCTTACCTATCATCCAAATCCCCTTGCACAATCTCTATCCAGCACCACCCATCCTTACAATCCTCCTCGAAGGTTGAAGCGGCAGTGGCCCAGAGACCTTTTGTAAATAAGCATCTATTGGAGTTTTGGCAATGGCCAGATCCTCCACTCAAGCCCGAGTGTGTATGATTAGGTTAGTTCTTTTGTTTATATACATTTATTTTATTTTATTGTATTTATTTTTATTTTATTTATTGTATTTATTATTATTAAGTTTCTGTATTATTTTATTTTTTTTTTTATTGTAAATAGAGTGTGAGTGTGCTTTCTCTGAACACTATTATAAATGTCCTTGATGTGACAGAATGTAATATTTCTAAATAAACAAATAAAAAAAAAGATATTTTATTTCTTATTAAATGTTGAAAAATACTATTAATTTTGGAAAATTGAATGAGTATGGCTCTATTGAACCAAAACAAATAGCAAAAATCGTTAGAAACTTTTTTGGGATGTGTAAGTACCAAACTTGGCAGTAAGTATAATTTTCTTCACATGGGAGGGTTGAAAACAGGTAAAAAAAAAATTGTTTCTATTTGTTGTTTAAAATAAAAAGTTTAACAAAAATGGTAGTAATAAAAACCCTATCAAAGCAATGGAGTAAAATAATGATTCTATGTATTCTAGTACTGGACATTATCTTAATCATTTTTGGGTCATTTTTACAATGCTCTTACCCGTGACATTTTCTTTAATTTAAAGTAAAAATAATTTTATATTTATTAACCACGTGTTGTATTTATTATAGTTGTGTTTAGTCAACTTGAAATAAATACAACGTGAACAAATGTTTATCTATGGCTCAGGGGTCCAGAACTCTTTACAATTTATTGACAATTTTATAAAAGAAATCATCCTCATTATGCCTTTTGTTCCTCAAATACTCTCATAAATAAAAGCCTAGAAGTTCTATGGACATGCCTTTCTTTCTTCTGTCTTATCTTCACTTGATGGCCATTATTACATATTTTCTTGTTATGCTATATATATTTTAAAAGCTTTTATTTCATCATAATTAAAATCTATACATTAATTAATTCACTAGATTCATTTTCAAATGCATGAATAAAAGTTATTAATAATCATTGTGACTTCAAATAAAATCGTTATGAGATAGTGCATTGGAAAAAAAAAAAAAATATATATTTTCTTATCCGTTTCTCGAAAAAAATTATTTCAAAATGAATTATTATAGTAATGTTATTAAAATAAATAATAAGGGTGAACGCCAACACCTAATAATTATTAGAAATCCTAGTAATTGACATAAATAATCATGACAATATAGATACCTTCTGAAATTATAAATATGCAGAAAAATGAAAATGTAGACTTTGAAACACCCAGAAGTAGTAAAAACAAAATTAACATTGCAATGAGTGCTATGCATTTAACTGTGCATTTTACATAGAGTTATTCTGTTTACTCCTTACATCTGGAGAATGGTTGCTTATAAAAGTTTTATAATAACCTCCAACGATATATAATGTACAAGAAATGTGATATATAAAAAAAAAAAAAACTTTTTTACCTTTAGCAACTTGGATACCTACATGAGACTTTTAGCCAATTTTTAGAATGTTGAAAAAAAGTCTCATGCGAAATTCCAGATTTATATATTTCATTTCAAGGTTTGGTCTTTTTTTTTCATATTATTTGACTGGGCTAAAAAAAAATGATTAGGTAGGCATTCTAAAATTAAATAAGTAAAGCCTAAGAGCTTGTAATAAATAGTTGAATTATGTGAATGAGTATCAGAGATGATAAATTACTATTAATTTATTTTGTGCAAAAAAGGGAATAAAAATTTGATTGTGGACTGTTAAACCTGTAAATAAAGGAAGTGTTGTAAATTGCCTAAGAAATATTGCATGTTGTGCTTGTTTATATCTTGATGTTTCTTTGATAGCCATAATAGATAATGTTGATTTGGGGTATGGTGAAGTGTTCACAATTAGCTATGATAATATTGCAGTAATGTGCTCAATAATATTAAAATTGTTATTTTTCTTTATAGTATTGTACAATCATTTCATAAAAATAGGAAGAATGTTTAAGTTAAAAGCAAATATAAAAGAAAACTTTTATTTTGAAAATTTACAACAAAAAGCAAACTAAATTTAAAAGCACACATAAAATGCCATTTCAGGAATTTTGTTGACTTTGTTTTTTAAACATATTGTACTTAGTTGAAACACATGAATGTTTCTGAAATAAAATACAAAAACAAAATATATACATACATACATATATGTAAATATTAAATGTTACCTAATTTTTTATCAAATACTGCTGATGAAGTATATATAATTTTTTTTTAATCTTTTCACAAAATAATGCCATTAATGATTGCGAACTTATACTAAAATCTAACCTATGCATTTAAAGTAAGATAATTAATTGATAATTAAATTATTTCTTGATAATTAAACAGTCGATTACACAATATAGTGTAAATTTATATAACAATAAGATTAACATGAAAATAATATTAATACATGTTAGCACTCATGTGGAAAAAACTAAAGTCAAAATAATTTGTAAACAAAGAAACTATCACTCATGTTTCATTTTAATTTGTTTTTCATGTTTTATTAAGGTATTTATCATATTTCAGTTTAATAGTTACATCTATTAAAACCTGGAATAATTGACTTTATTACACTGTTTATCAAAGAATTATAGATTTTTTGCAGTTGACAGAATATGAAGTCTGAATTATTAAAATTATAGATTTTAAATATGTATATATATGCATATTATTATTTTGAAATATATGCTCACACATTAGGTTATCATGATCAATAACAAGATTTAAATACATTAATCAGCTCCAAACAATTAAATTAATTTTGTAAGTATGTATTATACCACAAACTTGAAGTTTATGGAATGTTAAATATCATAAGTAATTTACTACGCCCTGGTTAACAAGAGGCAACAGTGTGGTCTGAATTCACCACAGATAAAATAAAAAGTTAACTATATTTATTTATGTAGACAATGTTAATACTTATTATATAAAATAACTAACACCTTAAACCTAAAATTTGATTTAAAAATAATTACTAGGGATAGAAACAAATTTATACTTAAAATTTCCAAACCTGACCCCATCAGCAGTTGTTAGGTCTAATTTGGAAAACTTTATACACCTATATAACTGTTTCTAGTTTTTAGAATGAGGGGGTGGTGTTGGGCATGCCATATCCGTACACATTGCGATTCCCCTTTCTGAACAGAAACAGCTGTTGCAGTTTTCTTTCCAGGAGTGGCCTGCCCTACATTCATTCCCACTGTTGCCTGTTGCACAAAATGTAAATTTATTAAATCATTTTCTTTCTTTTTTTTTTTTAATATTCCTTGTTAGATTATTTGTTAGTATCTTCAATTATCTTCTCTACAGCATGCATAGGTTAAGTAGCTTCTCAATTATATGGATTTTAGTTCCTTAGTAGGTTTAGTAACTACAAATATTATAAACCACATATGCCCCCAACACAAACATAATTTGTTGGTCCTGTTATATTTCAGCTGGTTGAAGAACTCCTTCCATTTTAACAAAACCTACAATGAAAATGTAAACATTTTTATGTGAATTTGAATTGATTAAATACATATTTTAGACAATTTATAATGTACTGATTAAAACTTCCTTATCAAATTTATAAATCTGAAATTGAATACTAAGAAATAATAGGTAGACTAATGCATTAAGAATAACTTTTAAAAGAAAATTTTCTAGGATAGCTAAGTAGAAGGATGCATAAATTTAAATTATAATTAAAATAAACAGTATAAATTAGTGAGAAGGGCTATGAAAGAAGCTATAGATGAATAGATGATTGAAAGGAAATCATCAAATTATTGTCCTAGACTTGGTATTTTTGAAAGGTCAAGGTCATGATGGCTGAGTGTGTTAAAGTGTAAACTTTAACATTCTTCAGTCTAGCGACATCGGTTCGGATCCAGCCTAGGTGGGTTGAAATTTACTTCATAGCATTCCTACAAAATGATTCCTTTCCATTCTGGTTAGAATAGTTTTGATTGAACCTCTTGAACAACTACCCCTGCCAGAAATTTAAAATAACTATAAAACTATAGACTAAATGTTGAAGTAATTCAACTACAAAGTTGAGTAACTATGGAAAGGTTTTGTCCAAGGGAGGGTGCATTTTAAATTTATTTAAAATTGCTTTGATTTCTGTGGCTTAATGCCACTGATAATAATATTACATTCAATTGCTTTTCTGTAATTATGAAAAAAATCTAACTCAATTACTAAATTTTGATGTATTTTTGTTATTGATTTATTTTGTAAGTCTGAAGGTTGTTTGCTCGAGACTACATGAAGAATTTCATATTGTAGTATTTTTTTTCTTAAAGAAATAGGTGGAATGAACTTAGAAAAATCGACGAAAGATTTCTTTGAACTAGTCAGGTTAAATTTAAATTTTACTGATGATACAACCGAATACTGAAACCATTGCATTTGCTAAAGATGAAGTAAATCGTCATTTCATGAATAGGAAGTTAAGTTACTGGGACAGGAGCAGATGCTTATGCATATGTATTCAGTAGACCTCATGTCAAGTAATGGTTCCATGAACAGATAAATAAATGAAGTAGTCTTTATAGGAAAGGATGTTTTTAATGTTATGAGGAATAGTTGATTAGCTAGAATTGAAGTTATTCATCACAAGATATGTTCATTAAGCTCTTTGTTAAACTTAATAAACAATCAACAATAATTTACATCTACATCATATTTATTTTGTATTAAACTATAAAGTTTAAATTAATTATTATTAAGTACACAAGACAAATATACATGCTTCATCTTAACATTCATTAACCATAGGAAGAAGTCTTATGTAATTTATTTCTCTTTAAATGAAACATTTAATTTTTCCACAATGTCTTTTTTAAAGATAAGTACCATAATTTAGGATTACTTGGATCCTGTATGAGGTTACTTTTACCCACCGAAAATTATTTTGAAATTAAATCTAGGTCTCTTGTTTTGAAAATCAATTTCTGCTGCAGGCAGCAGCACTAGTGCTTGGTTTCTGCAGTTTTTTGCCTCCTACTTTTTTTCAGTTTGAGTATAAGTAGTCACAAGTGACTTTAAAATAAAATTTGAAAAAATAAATAAAAAAAAATGGAAGAAAAGAGGAGGTAAAAGGAAGTAAAGTACTCCTTTTTTATTATGTTCAATCAGGATTAAGTCTTTCAGAGGGGAATTATTGTTTATGTTGATTCCAACTTTTCAACAAGAAAAATTAAAGAATAAAAATTATATTATTGCATAAGTTACTTCCAAGTTAAGATTCATAATTTGATTTCATTAAGAAATCTTTAGCTTATCTTTTTTTTTTTTACCATAAGTATTGACAAAGAAATATTTATTTAAGTTTATTAGTAAAATTAATAAAGTATAAACATCCAAAGACTTGAGATGTCATCGTTATGATGAAATATCACAAAAACACACCACATTGACAATTCAAATAGCATAAAGTTAAAGCTGACCTTGTACTCTCCAAGGTTTTGCCTCTCTCTTCTTCATATCTAAGGAAAATCCAGAAAAATGAAATGATAAACAATTAGTAAAAGCATTCAAACCAAAATGAAGAGTTGAGAATGGTATAGGTTTATTACCTATAAAGATTTTTAAAAGGACAGACAAAAATAACAATCCTATTCATTAATAGTGATAGAAATTAAAGCCATAACTATTTTATAATGCATTAATTCCAAAACATGCTGTTACAAAATAATTTAAAATTTCCATGTTTTACAATATCATTAGTGCCATTACAATCCAAGCAATATGTGTTATTCAAATGTGATAGAGATGAAAAACATTGTCACAGATAGAAATTTTCCGGCATCTTACTAAATTACCTAAAGCAAACAATTTGCTAGTTTTGTTTTTGTGTTAATAATATTTAGCATATTATTGAAAAATCATTATGTAAATAGGCAAACACAAAACGGTTCAGCCCCTTTTACTCCTCTATTATTCAATCGATTTTCTTCCTTCTTTTTTTGTTTGGTAGCTATTGACGAGCTTTAGTGTTATCAATAAATAAAAATATGAAATAGTATGTAAATAAATATATAAATGGTAGTTTGTTCAAAACGGCTTATCTCCGAAAGTTCTTCACAGATTTCTTTTTAATTTTGACAAAACGTCGCAATACTATTAAGAAGTGTTTTTGTATACGTTGCATTATCATCAGGTCTTTCCTTTCGAAATGGCGCCAGCAAAACGTGATTCGATTTAGACTAACACCAATACGGCTTCAACGATTTCAATGAAACTTGGCTAAACTCTTCCCCTTGAAACCTTTATAATTTATTTATATATATATATATAACATACTTTCCCGAAAACGAGATGCATAAATTTTTATGATGAATACAGTATTTTATTTGCGAATAACTCAAAAAGTACACATTTTTTATTGATGATACCAGTATTTATTTGAAAGATTTCTTGATTTCCTATAAAATATAAAAATATGAAATAGTATGTAAATAAATATATAAATGGTAGTTGGTTCAAAACAGCTTATCTCCTAAAGTTCTTCACCGATTTCTTTTAAATTTTGACACGTCGTAATAATATTTAGAAGTGTTTTTGTATGTGTTTCTTTATGAGCAGGCCTTTTCTTTCGAAATGGTGGCCGAAAAACGTGATTAGCTTTAGACTGTAGCGCCAATATGACTTCAACAATTTCAATGAAACTTGGTTAAAGTCTTCCCCTTGAAACCTTTATAATTTATGTCTAAAACATACTTTCCTGAAAACAAGCTGCATACATTTTTATGAATAATTCAGTATTTTATTTGCGAATAACTCAAAAAGTACACATTTTTTTATTGATAATATCAATATTTATTTGAAAGCATTATAAATTCCATATAAAAAAAAAATCACTATTTGTTGCAGATATATATCATGACCATAATCAAATCACAGGGTCAAAGTTTTGGAAAAATGTGTGTATTATAGCGACATACAGTAATTTCGCATGGATAATTATATGTGGCAGCAAGTAAAGCATGTTCATTTAAAATATTGAAATTTATATTTTCAATGGCAATGGGCAAGGGAACTAAACAATAAAAGAACATTCGAAAAAAACACATTGTTTACAGAGAAGTTCTGAATAAAAATGGATTTAAAGTGAATTGAAATTGCTGATTTAAATTTATTTTTTACTTGCTTAATCATAACATTAATTTATTGTGATAACAACACACATAAATTAAATATTTTTAAATGAGTCTATTTTGTATTACTTATAAATACTTTTAAGTAGTTTAAGCTCGATTTTGAATTGAAATTGAAATTTTGTTTATATTAATAAATGAGGATTTTTGAATCGTGATTTACTCTTTATTTATTTAATTTATTTTTATTTCATTATATGTTTTCCTCAAATTTTTAATGACTATGGTCGAATTTCGACCGCTGGGCGAACACTAGTATATTTAAAAACCTTTTGATTGAAAGCATCATAAAAAACAAATAGAATGGGAGTTGTAACACTTATGTTGGTATTAGTCTTGTACTTCCAGATTTTACTAGAATTAAAGTCAACCCTTGATAATACGTATTTTTCGAGAACAAGAGAACTCTTCAAGTGTAACTTCAGCAAATTGAAAAAATGCTCTATTTTGATATGCTCGGTAACTCAAAACCCTTTTCGTAACAAGAGGGGAAAGAACTTTGTATAATTCAAAAATCAAACCAATTCCACTCTTTATAATTTGAATTTTTCCTAATAATGTTTACTCCATATTTTCTGTTTAATGTTTGTCTCCTTTCAACTGAGCTTAACTTATCAATTCTGTTTAGTTTGTCACAATGAGTGCAAGACAGAAAGACCTCTCTCTCCCTAACTGTGTACGACGAAGAGTTGAAACGTTATCAGATGCTGAAATTTTGGCCTGAAAATGATGCCAACGATAAAGTTGAAGTGGACTAAGCAGAAACCAGGAAATCACATGACACTCTCTGAAATTTTGTGATGAAAACAGAAGTTGACAAAAAAATATTCTCAGCGCTAGTGACTTTGGAAAATGCTTTGGACTGGAAACTCCAAGCCACATTGAAACCAAAAATTATTCTTAAGTTATATAATTAGATCTGTTATTGTCTATTGAAATGTTAATATGTATTTTTTTGGCATTTTCATTATTTTTCCTTGAGGCTAGGTATACACAAAATTAATGTAATCTAATACATATTTTAAAAAATATAATAAAAATCTTAATTATTCAATTTTTTTTCCTTTCCCCATGGTAATTCAAACTTCTCGATAATCCGAAGTTTCAATACTTTGAATTTTTCTTGTAGTCCCTTAGATAATAATTTATCGAGAGTGACTGTATTTGATAGGATTTAGAGAGAGCTATTCATTCAAGGCTGTGAATACTAATCAAGGGATGGCATCAACCAAAAGAGGGTATCCAATTTCATTAAAATGGTATCAAAATGCCAGTTTAATATAATACTTTAAGAAAAAAAATTATTATCTGTTTTATTACAAAGAAAAACCTAACTGCATAATTTTATAATTATGCAGTTAGGTTTTTCTTTATAAGCCATTGTAAAACTTGGTGCCTTAGTGTCTACATTAAAGAGGATGGGTATCTCCTGAATCCTAATTTGATCAGTGGCTGATAGAATAGAAAATAAATTACTGTTGATGTTGGACTTCAATTATAGACTAGATCGAAAATTAAAAAATGAAATATGAATATGTTACCAATATGCAATGGGTTTTTAACATATTAAGGTGTTCCTATTTTTTCTATGGATACCATTGAGGATTTTTTTTATATAGAAAATAAAAAACTAGACCATCTCCTGCGATATTCCAGATGCTTCATTTCTTAGCTATTATTTTAATTTAAGGTGGCATATGCTGCATAAAGGCTAAATGAAGAAGAGCTGATATAATTACATTTTAAAGAACATGCATTATTTGTTTCAAGATACAAAACTGTTTACTTACCTAATGGTTTACCAATTGATGCAGTTCGTTTTCCTCTTTTTTTTTGTTTACAATCATTAAGTGAGCATGATGCATAACCAGTATGTGTACAAACACAACTATTGCATTCATCTAGTTGCCATTTGTCACCTGGTTTACACTTCCCATGTTGGTCCATTTTGCCTGGAAATTGAATATTGAAATTTATAAATGGAGTTCAATAGTTACTAAGATAGTTTAATAGATTAACTATAATAATGATGATGATATGATAATAAAAATGAAAGCATTCCTGTACTACTGATGAGGCTGGCTATCAGGACTTTTTTTTCCAGCTTGGACAAACTTTTGGGTCGTGCAGATGACTTTTATTGTATAGTCAGATCAGAGCATATCCTAAAAAATTTTGGATTTACTATCAATGAGCAGAAGTCAAAACATAAGTGAGACCTGAGAACCATTCCTGGAAATAGGACTTTATAAGTTATAGTAGCTTGAATCATTCACTTATCTGGACATATAACTTAGTTATAGGAATGACAGACTAGGAATTTGAAGAAAAATGGCTGTTAATCAATGTTTCTTCAGCCTATCAAAACACCTACAGATTTGGCAGAAGTCTTACAAAACTAAAGTTCATCTTTACAAGATGTCGAAATTCTCATTGTTGACCTAAGGCTAAGAAAGAAGTTTAGGCTACTGCCAAAGTAGGGAAACAGAAACTTTTGATGAACTTTAATGAAGGATTGTCCAAGAAAATCTCCATAGATTTTTTGAAAAGGTCCATAACTTTTGAAAGACAGGATTGCCTGATAACAAAGGAAGAATTAGCAATTTTATGATATCTTTAATTCGACAGTTGTCATTACATTGTTGTTATCTGAGTTTTTGTTTGTAAAATAAGTTTTTGTGTATGATATATTCTTTGAATTTAATAAATAATCTGACAAGAGTTCAAGTTTTCTTTTTCTTTTTTCAATAACAAATATTTTTTCAACCTTGCTTTCACAATCACCAAGAACAATATCTAATCTTTTGATAATTTTGTTCGGCATCCTAAAGAGCTTCTTAATCCTGCAGGGAATGCTTCACTTTCAGAGCAACCTTCCATATTCTGCAGGTTACAGAACTGTCTGTAAATAAATACATAGAGCTATACCCCCTCCCACCAGTTTATAACCTAGCCAAGACTACTACTTCTTCATTATGGTTAATTTTTTAGGCAATTTTCCATACCTCAGGGCTCTTCAATTTTTTTCTTGTTCTTCTTCACTCATAGCCCAAAATTTGTATATTCTTTTGTTACCATACATACCCCAAGCCAATGAAGTTGCCTTAATGACATGTCTTAGCTCAAAAATAGCATTCATTCTGGAAGTATTGGTAGCTCAGTTAGCATCCTCATGATAATAGCACATTGAAAACCACAGTTTGATTTTGAAATATTCCTAAACAGTACTTTGAATACACTTTTTTCCCAGTTTGGGTATTTTTTTGTTATACATGAGGACTTTTGTTTGGGAGTTACTGGTTCTGAAAACGATGTATAAACGATACCAGGATTTCTATCTGTACCAAATTGGGTTCTGATTTTTATGAAATTTTGAAGATTTCTAGAAAAGTTGATTTCTATCTAGTTCTGGTATGTTTGTCAATTTGTTTGGACAAATATTTATTCATAAATGTTAAAAATATTTGAAAAATAACTTTTCAATTGTTTTAAAAAAATATTTATTATCGAAAATATTGTAGGTAAAACTGTTTGATATTATAAGACTGTGGATAAAGAGGTAGAAAAATAAAACTTGCCCTCTCTGGAAAAAAATCCTAGTTCTGATTGTTTACATGGAGTTGAAAATGGTGTAGTTTTGATTAACAATAAATTTAATCCTCTTTACTTTCTCAGAGGTTTTGTTAAATATTTAAACTAATCAAGATTTAACTTCAACTTCATTTGCAAGAAAAATTATAAATAATGTATAATGAACATGGTTGGTAAGTCTATTGTTTTTAATTTACATTTTTTGAGAATTTCACATTAAGATAAATAAATATGTGAAAAAAAATGACACTACTTTTTATAAATTTACCAGTATAAATTCCTTTTATGTCCTTAAATATTTATTGTAGGTAACATATTTGATCAAAGAATGTTTCAATCTCAACTGATTTTAAATGAAGATGACTATTTTATTTATATTTGAAAAGAAAAATAATACCTTACCTGAGTGGGGAATAGTTCTAATTAATGACAATTAATTAGGTGATTTATTTTAATTCTAGGAGTTGAATTACAAAATCAGTGATCATTTGAATATTTCAACAGTTTATAAAATGAAAATATTTACTTTGTTGTGTAGAGCGTTTTCCCTTTTTTTTGGGCGAACATTCATTAAGTGAACAAGAAGCATATCCAGTATGAGTGCAGTGACACTGGTTGCATTCATCAAGTTTCCATTTGTCTCCTGGTTTACATCTTCCACCAGGGCTTATTTTGTCTGAAAATATAATTATAAATACAATGTTATTAGTCTAAAAATCAATGTGTGTAATTATTTTACAAAGTTTTAAAAAACTGTATTGATCTAAAGCCATTACATTGAAAGTCACTATCTATGTCATGGATTATTCACAATTCTTTTTATCGCCCTTCTTTTTATCACTGCACTGATACCCCACTTTTAGAAAAACTTTCATGTTTAATAAGCTTCAATTCTATATTTATTAAATTGAAGTTGTAACAGATTAAACTGAGATTGTCCCTTAGGTTTGTAAAAATATTATGTAACAAGAAATTCTGTCTCCTCAGTTTATCAGTATTTTCTGGAAAATACTTATAATAATAAATAATTTATAATAATTCTCAGAAGTGTTTTTAGTATGAAATTTTATCAAATAACTTACAAAAATTCAATAAAAATCCATACTATTTTTTCTATGATTTGTGTCTCAGTTCAAATATTTGTTCAACAATGCTACTTTTGGCTGAAGCCCCCAAAATTTTTAATGTTTTTCTAGGGTTCATTATTATAAAATTTATTGATTAGGAATAGAGTATTTTATTACACTTTTTTTTGTAACAACATTAAACACCAGATGTCATAAACCACACATGTAATAATAATAACAGCAGATAGTCCACAACATCCCTCTCCCCTAAGGAGAGAAGCAACAATGTACTTTAAAAATGTACAGATATTATGATGAATAAATACAAATGTTAAAAAGAACGTGGAAAATTTTTCTTCTTCTTCTTCCATTGATTCGACAGACCATTATGGATCCCTGGCCTCCTCCAATAACTTCTGCCAGTCTGCACGCTGTAGGGTAGCTGTACTTCAGTCCCTGACCCCTATTATCATCTGGGCATCTTCTGCTATGCCATCCATCCATCTTAGACGCGGTCTTCCTCTACGCCTGGTACTATGAATGGTCTCACTCATTATTTTTCTGGGGATCCCATCCCGTGACATTCGTGCTACATGTCCAGCCTACCTCAATCTCCCCAGCTTAATATGTTTCACAATGTCAGGTTCACCAAGAAGATTATTTATTTCTTGATTACCCCTCCTGATGTATGTTTGACTGACTCTTCTATGTCCATAAATGCGCCGCGGAATTCTTTTCTCCAATAAGCCAATAAACTTTGTTATATTACCCATGACTCCAAGCCGTACGTCAGGAACAGGCTGATCAACGTCTTATACAGCCGTAATTTTGTTGTCCTTGAGACGTACTTGCTCCTTAGATGTCATCGTTGCCCAAAGTAACATCAGTTAGCAATGATTTTTCTCCTCTCAATTTCCTTTGAATGTTATTTCCCTGAGTTATCCACTTTTCCAAACTTATATGAGCCAAGCTGCACATTATCTGCCAAGATGCCAAACTTAGAGGTCATACACTTGCTTTTCACAGCATTTACATGATGTCCCGGTTGTCCGGCTGTTGCTTCCAGTGCAAGAAAAGTCTCACAAACTGCAGCCTGGGATCTACCGACAATATCCAGATTGTCCGCATAACCAAGAATCTGAACCATTCTATTAAATACTGTGCCTGTTATTTGGATCCTTTCATCTCGTACCACTTTCTCTAATGCAATGTTGAATAGCAAGCACACCAGCTCATCTCCCTCTCTCATGCTATTCGTTGCAAAGCTCATCTCTGACAATTCACCTTGTACACACACCACATACATCAATTCTGCCAGTGTTAATTTAACCAATCGAATAAGTTTCTCTGGGATGTTTAGTTCCTTCATCACTTGATAAAGAGGTTCACGTAGTACACTATCATAAGCAGCTTTGATGTCTACAAACAGGTGATGCGTATGGATGCAATACTCTCTGATCCGTTCCAGTATAATACGGAGTGAGAAATTCTGATCGACTTGATCTACCTTTGCGGAATCCACAATGATATTTTTTCCAGCAACCTCTCCATATACGGCAGAAGTCGCATATGTAAAATGTTTGAGAATATTTTATATGCGCAAGGCAACAGCAATACACATCGATAATTTTTACATTCAAGTACATCCCCTTTCTTGTGGATTGGACTTGTTACTTTTTCCAAGAACTTGCCATTATTTCTGATGTCCACAAGGATACAAATAGGCTTTAACCAGATTTCCGCCTCCTTTCTTAAAGAGTTCTGAGGGCAAGTCATCAATTCCAGGTGCCCTAAGTTTCCCAATTGCATCACACACCTCTTCCTCATCAGGCGGTTCATTCATTCACCTCATTGAGCTGATTTCCTTCAGGGTTAGGATCCAATTGGCCCTAAATTTTGCCTGCAATATTTCACATGAAAAAACAGTATATAAAGACATACCATACACAATTCTGTTAGGACAAATAAATGTTTATACTTATATATACATTCCGTTTGGGGAGCGTGGTAGCTCAGTGGGTGAGCACTGACTTCCAGAGATCAAGGTCCCACGTTCGAATCTAGTAATTTTTCATTAGCCATGGATCAACCCTGGAGCAGGAGAGCATACCCAATCTCTGTAAAGTGGGTACTTTTAATTTAAAAAATAATTAAGGAGAAAAACCTGGTGGTTGAGCGTGATATCGGCCCAATCACCTTCCTGCACATACGTTGGCCTTGTAACACTACTTCTTCACATAGTAGTGCATGTGTTGCACTACAAGACCCTTCATGGGTTATATTGGTACAGATTTTTTTTATATATCCCCTTTAACACCATCCTTCTTCCCCTAAAAATGAACAGTTCATCTTGCAAACTACAGTATATATGGACAGAATAATACATAGTGCAAGTATTAACACTAATGATAGGAGCAACATAGCTATTTTAAATCCATCTAAGTCATTCACTCTAGTGGATTCACTCTAGTCCCGCTCTAGCGGAGAGTTGGTTGGAATATTCTACCGGGCCAAGTTACACTAACCTGCTTAGGCTGGCTATAGATAGATCTGCTTCTTGGACAACCACAATCTTCCATAAATCCATAGAAGAGAGGGTTCTCACATGGTGCTGAAGGATGATCTATATCACTTGATAAAGGAGGCAAGGGTTCCTCTTCTACTTGGGGATTGTCAATTTTTCCTCCTGTCAATTTCAAATGGTTCCTCCTCTGCAGAAGGCTTAAGTTTATCACCCTTCTTCGTCCATTATGAAAAGGATTAATGGTTCTGATCTTATCAGAAATGTAGTTTCTACGTTTCCAGTTCTAATTGCTTTAATGACTACTCCATTTTTGGGATGGGAAATTTTGCATTATTCTGTTTGTGGATATATCCCCTCCCCCAAGAAATACTGTTGGCTGTGCCAGAGGAAATATGGGTCTAATCTGCCCTATCCTAAAAAAGGCTCCATGTCTAATTTTAGTAATCACAGAGGCATAGCACTCCTTTCTGTTGCCTACAAGATAATATATAATATAATAACACTAGACCAGATCTTCATCCTAAAACCAGTACTCGAAAATTAATGGGAAGTAGCTCAGGATGAGTATGCCTTATTTGACAATTTTAAAACAGTCTATGGCCCCATGAAAAGTGTTGTGACGTCACATGATCTGTTTTCAACTAATTTTCAACATCTGTATTGGACAAATGATACTTTTTTGTATTAATTTTCTTAAGGTGAATAAAAGTTGTTCTAACTTGTTTCAAGAGCACATTGTTTGTTTATCTTTATATTCTCCAACCTCAACCCTTATCCGGTAAGTTTGTGTGTGTCTCGTCTCATATTAGTCGAAGTCACAACAGAAAGGAACAGTCTTTGGAAAATCATGACAAAGGTGTGTACACATGACCCTAGATATTGAATCCTGATAGTAATTGAAGATAAAACAATGAATATTAGGATAAGGTAAAAATTCCATACCAATATATAACAGGATCTGCATAAATAGGAAATCGTTCCTGAGAGTAGACAAATTCAAATACCTTGTATCTACAATAACCTCATAGAATGACTAGAATCATTATCTCATGATATGAAGGAGTAAGATGTATGGGATATGTAGCTTGGAGAAATCCACCAGGAAGCCAATAAATGTCTTCTCAACAATGAATGCTTCAATATTAGGTACAAGAACATGTGAAAGGCCAAAAAACAGATCGATATATTGAATTAACAAAGATGAAATATAGTTGCATGCAGATCATTGGAAAGTAATAGTCCAAGCTAGGCAGAGATAGAAAAGGTTGCATATGGCAACAAAAGATCTACCAGGTATGTAATACTTACATAAAAAAAGTTATCACTTCTTATTTTACAAAAAAAAAATGTGATACTTACAAAAACACAAAGCTTAATTTTCTTGCTTTTTTGTGTGGAACGTTTTTATTTCAAATGAGGTGTGGAACTACCCCATGGACTATGGTCGCTTATTCTGATACACCCTATATAATTCTACATGATTTATAATTTTTATTCTATTTCTGGAATAATTTTACCCATAATGGAAATAAAATTAGACCTACTTAGTATGAATATACTAATGTTTAAGTTTAGCAACAACCTAAAAATAAACTATTGTATTCTATTTAGTGAACCGTTAAATCAATATTTTTGTTTTTTAAAATAATCTGTTTTCAATAATGATTATGATGTCAATATTTACTATGATATTCCAAAAGCATTTGTAGTTGGACTCATCTCATTACTTATAGAGCACTATTTGTTTTCATTGCATAAGGAAATTTCCTAAATTTGGTATGAAATAAAGTGGAATAAGTAAATGGATATGGTTGTTTGTTAAACATGATATCATATAATGGTTAATAAACTCTTTAAATTTCACAAGCAAAAAGTTTTAACATTAGTAAAATAAATTTAAAAGTGAAGTTTAATTATTACCTCCATGAGTTTCCCTTCTCTGGCGGACAGAATTCATAATACCACATAAGGCTACATTTCCTTCACGACACATACATATTTTATATTCCTTAAAACATTTTTCACTTTTTAAGCATATTCCTTCAGAATTAAGTGAACATTGTGTTTTTCCATCTTCTTGTTCCTCTGAACTCTGAGCTGAAACTGAATTAACATGTGTGTGATAATTTGTATCCCAATTAATAAAACTTATCCAATTAAAATTATTTGATTGACAGTTTTGATTTAATAATATAAAAATAATTTAAATAAAGGTTTTGTGTAAATAAATACTACAGATATTAAATGTATCAAAATTTTTATTATTCACACATATGTTTATGTAAGAACGCATATACCATTGGTTTGCCCCCAGTGACATTTTTTTTTGTAGTTTGACAAATGTTTCTTCAAATTTTGAAATTGCTTTCAACAGTCATTCAAATGCTGAGTTATGTTACCCAAAAAAGACAAAATTACAGATCCATTATTTATCTATGAGTTAATGACAGATTTTTCATTTAGCATAGCATCTCTACTCAACCAATGTACTTCTGTGTTGTAAATTACATCACCTTATTAACTTCCAAGATCTTTTAAAAACTTTAAGTTACATGTGGTTTAAAACGTGATTTGAAAAAATCAATAAGTTTTATCACAAGTGTGGTGACATTAGATATACTTTCACCATTTCCAAAAATAAAGTTAACATTAATTGGGTACAATAAGAAAGCCAGATAATAATAATAATAATAATAAGGCTTAGCGAACCCGAAGGTTCGATGCCGACACCACCAATCGCTTGTTACACACCTCCCTCCACCGTTCGCCGTCCAAACCCAGTCCCTTCAGATCGGCTTTAATGCAATCTTCCCATCTTCGCTTCGGTCTACCCCTCGGACGCTTACCATTCGGCACAGCAAATATTAACCTTTTAGGAATTCTCTCGTTACTAAGCCCAACAACTTTACAAGCCCATTTGATTCGCCGCGATGAAATTACCTCAATTATATTACCCGGATACATCTCACGCAATTCGGCGTTGTGTAACCGTCTGAACTCTCCGGTTAACTCATCCTTTTTCGGTCCGAATATTCTACGCAATACTTTATTTTCAAAAACCTTAAGACGCTGCTCATCCCTTAATGTAAGCGGCCAAGTTTCGCATCCATAAAGAACTGTAGGTAAGATAATTGTTTTATAGATTCTAATTTTTAAGTTTCGGGACAAGAGGCGCGAACTAAGTAGTTTTGTCACAGAAAAATAACAAGCATTCCCCGCCTTCAGTCTAACCTTAATCACTTCTTCAATTTCGTTTTTTCTAGTTATCGTAGAACCTAGATACCTAAATTTATCTACCTGTTCAAACATATTACCATCTATATCGATATCACCAGTAGTATCGCCATTTTTACAGCTAACCATGTATTTTGTTTTATCCACGTTTATTTCGAGTCCTAGTTCTTTCCCGGCTTTCATTAACGTTGTCGTATTTAGTTTTATAGTTTCAACGTCTTCGCTTAACAGTACTAGATCATCAGCATAGCCCAGCACGGATGTTGTCCCGCCCAGATCCAACCCTTTCTCGGTTCGCATTACCTCCCTAATGGCATGTTCTAATGCCAAATTGAACAGGACAGGCGAAAGAGAATCCCCCTGTTTTAAGCCCGAACGAACCTCAAATTTTTCGGACAAATTATTACCGATTCTAACTTTATTGAGTGTCTCCGTCAAGCACATCCTCGCGCGGGCTCATTACCGCGTATGGGGAGCGTCCCACGGGTGGCGGATGTGGGGATGGTCGGTGGAAATTTCTTGGAAGTTCCTCCCGGCTAAGTCCGATGGACTCGCTGACCAACAATGAGAGGGGCCCTCCAGACTTGCTGGAGGGAGGGGACCTCCAGACTTGCTGGAGGTAGGGGCCCACCAGACTTGCTGGAGGGTGTGACGTAGGATTGAACGCCCTACTCACATATCTTTAGTTCACCAAACACCACAAAAAGTCATGGATCTCCCTAAGGTAAAACGCTCATTATCCGGAGGTAAACTAGTCCCCCGTTCGGGTCTCCGGGTGGGGACTGCTTTAGGGGATTCATGGCGCAAGTTGAAATATAGGGATTTAAATATTGGTAAGAAAGCCAGATATAAATCTTTAATGAATTTTTGTTTTTTTTTCTCCCCTTCTTCGCCTTTTAGACTATACCTCCGGGGCCAAAGAGTGAGGTCCTGGGATTAGCTTAATGCCAGAGTTAAAAGATCCCATGGGCACCGGAACGCCATGATAGCATACCTTATGGTTGCCGTTTTGTACTCACTAGAGTGGGAATGGCAAGATTCATTTTCTTATGCTATCTCCCCCATCTCCCCCAAGGTCAAACCTATTCCCCTGCTTCACCCAAGATATTGTATTGCTCATCTTTTCTTAAAAACAGAGGGAAAAAAAGTATAATTAGAAAAATCATAGACCATGTACAATTACACTTGCTGTGGTCTGTTCCATGTTTTCCCCTTTCTCCTTATTCTAGAACTTTTCATTCCTAAAATCAATTACCCCGTTTAAATGTGTCACCCTCAAAAATTCAAAAACCCGTCAAAACATGCTCTCCTCGAAAATGTTGATGGCGCAAGTTGCGCCATAAAGCCCCCTATGGGCACCACCTTTGTATATATATATATAACCAAACCAGTTGGGAATTATAGCTATACCATTCAGCTGGTACAAATTTATGGTAATTTACCATCCAACTGAATCGAATGGTAAATTATGATTGGTGTTGGGAATAATGGGAAATCTTTATTGTTTATTTTGTATTAATTTTTTGTTGTTCCTAACCCAAGGATCTCCATCCCTCCCAAGGTCGATGGCGCGAGAACCTACTCCCTCCCCCTCCCAAGATATTTTATTGCTCACCTTTTCATAAAAACAGAGTAAGGGAATATAAAATTAATAAAATTGTAGATCGTACACAATTACACTTGATACGGTCTGTTCATAGGCGAATCTACGGGGCAGGCTTTTGGGCTGAACCTCCCGCAAAATGTTAAAATAATACCATGTCTTATGAAAAAGATTATTTCTAAATGTATTATTGTTCGTATAATTACATTTAATAGGTCTTCAAAAATCACTTAAACACCATTTCGTATAGGTAGTTAGTTTCATTCTTTTTCTTACAAATTAATTATCTTTATATTTAAAAAAAAAAATCTTTCGGGCTGAAGCCCCGCTCTCTCCCCAAAATAATATCCTGGATTCGCTAATGGGTCTGTTTCATGCTTTCTTGTTGTCCCTTATTCTGAAACTTTTCATTCCGAAAATTCATAACCCCGTTGAATGACGTTGTTTGACAGCTACATTAATTTCTATTGCAGATTTAACCTATGGATTATGTCACAAATCCTCTCACAAGGCTCAGGAGTTTTTCAAAGGAAAGTAACTTGCACTACAACAGAGGAGAGAAAAGGTAGAAGGTAATTTACGGTAATTAAAAAAGAAGGTAAGGTAAGGTAATTAAAAGATACAGAAGGTAATTTTTTAAATGTATGTCTGTTCAAAGGTGATAATTTTATAGAACTGATTCCTACGATGATTATGAGATTTAGACAGCACGAAATTGGGATGTGTGCGGCTATTGGGAAGGCTTTTTCTACAAATTTCTCTTGCTGAAAGATATAGCTCCATTTAAAATTCCTTTGGTGGGAGAATTATGAAAAGGGAGTTATAAAGGTATATCCCCATAGAAGAGTAGTTTTTAGAGTCAAATACAGCCCACTTCACTTGGGTGCAGTTATTCAGAAGCATCTGAAGGAAGCAACAGTTCATCAGAGCAACATAGCGGAGAAGTTAGAAAATCCATTCTATGTAGATAACCTTGGTACAAGCGTGAAGTGTAAAGAAGCGTTGCAACAGCTGATTGAACTGGGCAAAGATCTACTGTCAAGTGGAGCTTTCAACTTAGGAGAGTGTCATTCAACAGAAATGAAAGCAACACAGGAAGAAGTCCCTGTTTTAGGATTAATGTGGGACAATAGCAAAAATGACACTCTACGATGTGCATTCGTGTTGGATATTGATACCTCAAGACTAACTAAGAGAATATTGCTGGGAGTTGCTCAACGAGTTTTTGATCCTATAGGGCATACCTGTCTGGCCACAGTAGTTCCAAAACTACTGTTGCAACATTTATGACAGTTGAAGTTGAGCTGGGATGAGTAGTCACCACAATACATCAGTAAAAATTTTAGAAAATGGTTGAAAGGGATGGAATATTTACAGATGTGCAGAATACCAAGAAAAATCAGTTTATCAAGGATTGATAAGGAAACAAGTAGTATCCATATTTTTTCAGATGCAAGTAAGGTAGCATTTGCGGCCTATTTTAACGAACCGAGCATGATGAGGGTGTCAATGTGCAGCTGGTTGTTTCAAAATCGAGAATAGCCCCCTTGAAGGAAGTTACCATTCCTCACTTGGAATTAATGGCTGCAGTGATAGCTACTCGTCTATTTAGCCAAGTAAAGGAGTCATTAGATATGCACAATATTCCAGTAGTATTTTGGTCCGACTCTACTACTGTATTAACTAGGATAAAGACAAAGGGACCTTGGAACACTTTTGTAGCAAATAGGGTTAAAGAAATAGGAGAGCATAGTGAGTTGAAGGACTGGCGACATATCTCTGGGAATCACAATCTAGCTGACTTACCATCAAGAGAGGGCAGTCCCAAAATATTGTTTGAAACGCAGTAGTGGCAAGGACCACAGGGATTGAGCAATTCATCGGAAGAATGGTCAGAAGCACAAGAGATATCATTGCAGATTGAAATAGAAAGGGGAAGAAGAAAGACTATTATAACAGCAATGAAAAGATTGATGTTACTGAAGAACTGTTATATTTTTCTAGTTATATAAAGACTGTGAGAATGGTGGGTTGGATATTGCGATAGAAGCACAACTCAAAAAAAGGTAGAACACGAAGTATCGGTGATTTAAGTTCGATGCCAAGATTTTCAAGAATCACCAAAAGTTTCGAGATGAAAATGGTATTTGAAGAGTTAAAACTAGACTTAGTCTGTCTGAAGAATTCCATAATTTTAAATATCATATTGTAGAGCCGTCTAAAAATCCATTAGCAGAAAAATTTATTTAGACGGAACACCTTACTA